AGTAACTACATATTCCTTTCATCTTCTTTTGATGCTTCCTGCATCATTCAATAGTTTGCCAGTAGAATCATTCAATGTTGCAACTCAAGGCTTGAATATTTTCCTCAGCTCTTTCAGTTTGAGAAGTGCTGAGCACGTTCTTCGGATCTGGTTGTCTAACTCCAGCTCTTTGCACATTTCATTCTCATTCTTTGCTTCGTCTTCTCAAGCCACCCTTTGAAAGCTTCTGTTCAGATCTTTTACTTCATTATGTCTTCCATTCACCCTAGCAACCCTGATCAAGAGCATACATGAAAGGTGGCTTTAAAGAGCAGACTTCTACTTTCTCATCGTTCTGAGGGCTAAAAGTCCAAATCCGGGTCTCAGCCGTGCTGATTCCTTTGTGGCCCCTCTCCGGTTCCAGTGCCTGCTGGCGATCCTTGGGGTTCCCCTGCTTGTAGGCAATCCTCATGTGACCTTCATTCCCCTTGTGTGGGTGCCTCCATGTCTGCTGTTTTTATAAGACTTGACTCAGACTCAGAAAGGATTAGGTTTCACACTCACCCTACTCTAGTGACCTCAGGAACATAACACAAGAAACCCCTCTTTACAGACAGGGTCACACTCAAGGATACAGGGGTAGGGCTTCCACTTTTCTTCGGGGGACACAATTCAATCCACAACCATCCATAGAGCCATCGCAACAAAATGCACAACACGGTGACTCTAAGAATGGAGCCGAGAGTCTAAGATGAGGACACCCCCAGAGCTGTGCTCTCTCGGGTCACCTCTGGGTAGGAGCCTTCCTTGTGTCTTTCTGCTCTTGGCGCCCCTTGACTCACAGACCAATCAGCACACGTTGCCTTCCCCCGTGTGTGGCTCTGTCTCCATGTCTGTCCTTCTCATTTATGAAATGCTACTTAGAATGGATTGTGAGTAGGCCCTACCCTGCTCTGACAGGACCTTGTTAACAGGTAACATCTGCAAGGAAAGTCCTATACCCCCAAACAGGGCCACGGTCACTGTGCAGAATTAGGACCTCAACATACCTTCTGGAGGCACACCACTCCATCCAGAGCACCCCCTCCTCGTGCCCGTCCAGGTCTAGGGTGGTAACACTTCTGCCCCTCTGCCCTGCTGCCTCATAGTCCGCCTGCCCACCCCTCTGTTGCTTTAGGGTAAAATATGCTGTGTAAATGAAGCAATGGAAGCTTAATGTAATAATAACTTTTCTCTAAACAACTCACCATGTATAATGAATAAATTTGATTATTTTAAATATAAATATAAAAATACATTTTATAAAAACCATGAACTACTTTCATACCAGAAAACAGGTGGGAATTTGAAACATAATCTGGTTGAGACATTGATTTTTAATGTAGAAATTTCATGTGTGAGTCAAATACAGACATCTCCAAGTCCTAAATTTTTCTGACCAGATTATTTGAAATCATTTTATAGTGTTTGGGCCACTGGGGCTGAACACTTCTCTCGTTCACAGGTGGTTGTAGGCGTCATGCAGACTTACGGATACAGAATCAGCTGTCCTTCAAACAATAATAAACTGCTTTAATAGTTTTCACTGTTTTTCCAGTAGGTGGAGTACTAGACTAGAGAAAGCTGATCAACAGTTGAAGGCTTCCTTTTTTATTTTATTTATTGTTTACTATTTTGAGAAATTTTTTATATAAAACATAACTCCCCTGATGGGCTCACTGACAGTTTTAACTGCATCAGTACCCCGGGATTTCAGTGCCCAGGACCGTTTTCTGGCAGGATCCGTGCTTACACGGTGACAGTTGTCATGTGGAATTTTCACACTGTCCAGGAAGCTGTCAGGAAGCCCCCAGACAATGCTGAAGGAGAAAGAACACAGTTGCAGCAAAGGCAGGTCCGTCTCCCACATCCTTTACTGCTCACACCATGGCTTTTCTGGAACACACAAACATACACACAGGCACACACACAATTACACACAGACACATAAATATACACAACTACACACAAAAATACACACACATCCACACAAATGCACACCCAAATACCCCACTCAAATGGGTCAGGGCCTGCCCTCCTCCAGTGTGGCCTCATGTTACCAGTAACATCGTCAGAGACCGTATTTCCCAACAGGGCCACACTGCCGTCGGGACTTCACATGTCTCTTGGGGATGCAATTCCGCCAACAGCACTGGTCGTCCTTTACAATGACCACTCCGTTGTACATTTCTTGACATTGACAGACGCTCCTAAAACGCCATTAAGTGAAGGAAAAACCAAACACCGAACAGTATGTGCAGTTGGGGCCCGTCGAAGCTTCGTAAAAATGGAAGGACTATACTGGTAGCATAGTGGCTAAGACACTTGCCTGCACCAGACGGCTGGCGGTTCAAACCCACCAGCCACTCCTCGGAAGGAAGGTTGGGCAGGTTCAAACCCACCAGCCACTCCTCGGAAGGAAGGTTGGGCAATCCTACTTCCGTAGTGATACTGCCTCGGAAACCCAAGGAGGGGTCGCTATGAGTCGGGTCTGACTCGACGGCACATAACAACAACAACAACATACGTAAGAAACTGACTCTGTCACAAGGTGGTTTTTCCTGAAGTCTGCAGGCTTTGGTTCTCTATAATGAACATGGACTGCTGGTGCCCATCTTTATAGCCCCTCCGTAAAGCCTACTGGGAGCTCTGATAGCCTAGTGCCTAAGACACCTGAGTGCTATCCAGAGGGCTGGCGGTTCAAACCCACCAACCACTCCTCGGAAGGAAGGTTGGGCAATCTACTTCTACAGTAATACCACCTTGGAAACCCAAGGAGGGGTCGCTATGACTCAGGTCGACTCTGCGACAGTGCGTTTAGTTGAGGTAGCATAGTGCCTAAGGCACTTGACTGCTAACCAGAAGCCTGGTGGTTCAAACCCACCAGCCACTCCTCAGAAGGAAGATGGGGCAATCTACTTCCGTAGTGATACTGCCTCGGAAACCCAAGGAGGGGTCGCTATGAGTTGGGTCCGACTCGATGGCATATAACAACTAAATTATAAGGGTTGTTTAGCGGAATCACCACTGGGAGGTGCGGTATGTGTGTGAGTGTGTGTGAGTGAACCATGCGCCCTGGGTTTTGACGAGCGGCGCCAGGAGCAGGGGAGGAACAGCAGTTACCGCTAGGTGCCTCCAGGTGGCGCCCAAGGAGCTCGCTCCCAGGTGGCCGCAGCAGCTGAGCGCCGCTGTGCTCCACAGAACCGACTGCTTTGCTAAGGACGCACTTGACGTTGCGGAAACTGCGAACTAAGTTGGAAATCCTGCTGTTTCCTTGGACACGCGTCGCGGCCGGACGCCCATCCGGGTTGAAGCGGTGGCATCGTGCGGCGCCACGCTCCCCTGGCTCTGTGGCCCTGCTCTCCAGCCCCCTGCGCTTCCAGCCGGCAGCTCAGGACTGGCTGCGGGTGGACAGCCCGCGGGCCACCGCTCCCCCGGGTGAGGGGCCCTTTAACACCCGAGGCTGTAGCCCGGGACCCAGTCACGGCCAGCGCGCTCTTCCTCCGGGAGACAGCGCACAGGGTGCCCGCGAGCCTGCCTTTGCTCCTGTGTGTACCTGAGCACGTAGGAAACCTCACTTCAGAAAAGCTGATAGCGACAAATAGGTTTCTCACCGGTGACCCCAAAGCCCAGGTCTCCGGGAGCTCGCAGGTGGGAAACAACAGTGGACTGGTCAGCTGTGGAACACGAGGCAGGAGCACCCTCGGGGCGCCAGGAGCCCTGTGATCTGGGGAGCTTCACTTGCCCTTTGGACAGGGAAGCACCTAGCTCTCAGTGGGAGTGACTGTGACCCCATTCTCCTTCCAGGTCACCTTGCTCCCCAAAGAATAAATCCTCGGGGCTGGGAGAAGCCACTCTCCCGGTAGCAGGGTGCAACGTGCTGTGTATCTCAACATCTAGAAAAGTGGATGTGGGAGGAGGGTGTGTGTGTGTGTGTGTGTGAGTGTGTGGGTGTGTGGGTGTGAGTGTATGCATGTGTGTGTATGTGTGTGGGTGTGTACAAGTGTAGATGTGTATGAGTGTGGGAATGTCTGTATGTGTGTGAGTGTATATGTGTGTGTACATGTGTGGGGGTGTGTGAGAATGTGAGTGTGTGAGAGAGGGTGAGTGTGTGTGTACACGTATGCATGAGTCTGTGAGTGTTTGTGTAACTGTGTGTAAATGTGTGTGGGGTGAATGTGTGTTGAGTGTGTGAGTGTCAATGTGTGTGTTAGTATGAATGTGTACATGAGCACACGGGTGTGAGTGTGTGTGAGAGGGTGAATGTATGTGTGTGTGTTAATGTGTGCATGAGCATGTGAGTGTGTATGAGAGTGTATGTGTGTGAGTGTGTGTGTGAGTATAAATGTGTGTATGTGTGTGAGTATGTGTGTGTGCATGAGCCTTGAGTGTGTGTGAGTGAGGATGTGTGTGAGTGTGAATGTGTGTATGTGTGTGAGTGTGTGCATGTGTGCATGAGCCTTGAGTGTGTGTGAGTGTGTGAGAGTGTGAATGTGTGTGAGAGTGTGTGTGCATGAGCACATGAGTGTGAGTGTGTGTGAGAGGGTGAGTGTGTGTGTGAAGGTGAAGATCAATACTGCTCTGTCAGCTGAGAGTATCCAAGGGGGGTACTGGGAACTGAGAGGATCATGAAGAAAATCCACGAAGCGTTTTCTGTCTCGCCCGTCCTGGCACAGATGGGATCAAGCGGACTTGACTCCATTAGGACAAGCTAAGATCTTGATCCTGTGGAAAGGGCACAGAAGCTGCAGAAAATCCATAAGGGTTTTTGTTTACTGGTCCACCCTGCTTTCTAATAATTATGGCAAAGGCTTACAGGGACGACCGCTTCCCAGGCTGTCACTAGGCTATCACAGCAACCAGGAAAGACATCCAGAAACCAGGGCTGCAGGGTGATGTCTCTCTCTCTCTCTCTCAGGGAAGGCTTGGCCTCCGGGATGGTAAGACCTCCCTTCTAAACATGTCTTATTTTCCTTCTGCAGCTCGACCACTACCCTCGCGTGACTTACCATCTGCCGAGTTCATCCGACACCCTGTTCAATTCCCCCAAGTCACTCTTTCTAGGAAAAGTTATAGGTAAGAATCGGGTTGCTGAGCCGTGAGTGTAAGTTAAGCATGTGTTCTGTGTAAGAGTTACATGGGGGTGTGAATTTTGTCTTCCACGGGGACTGTCAGGAATATGTTCCAGGCACAAGACAGGTTGTGCTCTTTTTCCCATGATTGAAGCACATGTTACCAATGCATCTCTGGGGTGACCTGACTCGTGAAAGGGCCGTTCGCCTGTGGGAACCTGTGAGTGTGAGGGTGGCGGCACCGCAGCACTGGCCGCAGAGCCACATTGCAGCAGGCTGGAGGGGGGCTGGGAATGTTGATGTTGGTAGCGGTCATCGTCAAGTCAGTTTCTGCACCATGCTCACGTTCATTGCCATGTCTGAGCCCAGGTGGCAGCCACGGTGTCAACCCATCTCATTAAGGGTCTTCCTCTTTTGCACTGAACCTCCACTTTACCGAGCATGATATCCTTCTCCAGGGAATGGTTCCTCCTGATAACACGTCCAAAGTATAAGCGAAGCTGATTATCTGCTCCGACGTCTCCTTGTACTTGGAGTTCATTGGGCTGTTAAAGCCTTCCACCCACCGACAGTATTCCCACTAACCTTCTCTTGGTCTAAACACATAAACTTGGCTCTCTCTTCCTCTCTCTCAAGAACTCTCCCTGGTGGTATCTGAAAAAGTAAAGGCACATAAGAATTAGGAAATCATGTCACAACCCCTGCCTCAGTGAAGCCAGCCGTCCCAGAGCTCTCCTCCTTGCTCCAGGAGACTGGAGTACCTCACTGAAAGTGTGGGTGTGATCGGCCAAGGACACTCCCATGTTTAGTGGAAAGGCAGCAAAAAGTACTTTTCCTCAGAGAAAGCAAACTTGAGCCCAAAAGAGGAATCATGAGGTGGGTGGTCACATGGGGCTGGGAAGGGCGCACAGTGTGTGGGAAGTGGCGACTGGAATGGCAGTCAAGGCAAAAAAGTGGGGGCCAGGCAATGAGGACTGGAGAAGGAGACATCTTGCAGAAGGCCAGCCTCTCTGTAAGCCCTTGTGATGCATTTAGTCATTTATCTTCATAAAATTCCACAATGCACGCAGATGGTTGCCTCCATTTCACAGATGAGAAAACAAGGGCACTGGGGGTTAAACTACTCTCCTAGGGCCGTGAACGAGGGAGTGGGAGAACCAGACACCCGGAGCCCTGCTCTTACCAACTGTGCTCCAATCCCTATGTAGAACTGAATGGAGAGAGACACAAGAGGCAGGTTTGGCAGCAGATGTAAGTAAGGTCTGAGGCTGACCGATTCTGGCATCATGTGCCAGCAAGTGGCCGTGAGTAGGAAGTATCCCTGTACCTGGAATCAGGAACACACCAGCCAGGCTGGTGATCAAGGAACCAAGGGAGCTGCACACCCGGTAGGGACTAGACTACATCCTCTGTGAACAAGACGGCAGGGAGTGTGGGGAGTTTGCCCACAGACAGCGAGAGCTCAGGTGTTTGGAGGCTCGGTGGCAGACTTCTCAGCTTCCATGTGGGAGACCGGGTCCAATGCCCGGCCCGCGCTCCTCACACGCAGCTGTCACTCGTCTGTCAGGGAAGGGTCCTGTGCTACCAAGCTGCTGAGCAGGTCCCCACAGAGCTTGCAGACTAAGAGGCCAGGAAGAAAGGCCTGGGGACCCCCTCTCTAAAAGCAGCCAACAAAATCCCCGTGGTCCCAGACTGCCGTGGGCATGAGTGGGCTGGGTTCCTGCTGGGGGCCTGGTCACACGGACTCTGCAGGATTGGCTGTCGCCCCTGTCCATGAGCTCCCAGAGACCGGGACCGATCTCAGAGTGTCTGTAGTCTAAAGGCCTTGCATGGAGCAAGTGCTCATAAATACTCATTGCATCATGAACAGGAAAGGGGAAAAGAACAAAGGAATGCCAGTGCAGAGACAGGGGTGTGGGTGTGACTGCAGGGGACAGTGAGGAGAGGAGGGTGTGGGTGTGACTGCAGGGGACAGTGAGGAGAGGAGGGTGTGGGTGTGACTGCA